TGCATATATATAGTGATATCTGTGATTGTGATTACTATCCTGTTATCTTCGGAACCCAAGCACATGCTAATGCTTATGAAAAGGTATACCTATTCCTACATATACTATTCATACAGCCTGTTTGTGATTTACATGCATGGTGACATAGACCTATGGATGCATTTGTTGTGCTTATTCCACACATAAATATTTGTCTGAGGTATGCAAAACATTCAAAAGCAGTCTTAAATGAAGCAGCCTTCCATGAAATGTCAAAATAGGGTTGTCCTCCAGAAGGTTAACAAAGCTGATTCAAAGCTATCCCTAGTTGTATGTATGTTTATCCAGGCACAGAGACTACCAGAAATGTAAAGTATCTGTGCGTGTATAGAAATGCATAGCCAGCAGGGACAGATTTCAAAGCAGCAGTATAGCTACTTTAACTCTCCAGCAATGTACTTTAGTTACATTAAAGTGTTTTGTGAAGCAGTCCTTCAATACTTTGCACAACACCTATATTTACTTATTCAGCAGAAATTTCCCTCCATATTGTGATAGTGAACTAACTAATTTGTACTTGAAGTGGATGCTATTAGTGGCATTCTCTCCTCAAGCATATTCAGTTGGACGTTTGACCCACCTCATTTTGAAGAATCAAGGCAGCTACCAGTATTCCAAAACAAAACAGAGAAATTATTGATCTGAATATCATTAAAAAAATAAAATACAATGCACATAAAGCTCAGAAAAATCAAAATTTACTTCATACCAACACCAAACTATCAATGGGATTGTGCATACTTTTCTTTAATATGCAATATTTTTTGCATGGTGTCATTTGAACGTATTGCACATTATACCAGTGCCTTAAATATATTGGGAGGGAGGGAACAAAATGAAGACTCATCTACTGCTTTCAAAACTCTGAAACCAACCACAGTATGAAGATTTTCTTTTCTTGCTGCACAGTTTGGTGCTAATTTCTCCCCTCACCCTCATCTTCCATACCCAATAGGATATTGGTTCTTGCTTTAAAAACACATATACCAGAATTGGAACACAAATTGCTATGACCTTTGGATTAAAAAAATATGAAAAGTCTCTTTAGAGCAAGATAACTACAAATCTCAGCATAAACAAAGGTTTGAGAGGGATTTCACCTGTACTAGATCATTAAATTCCAAAATGGGTAGGAAATCAGAAAGTATAAGAGGAACCAAATCATCCATTATACAATACTGGTAGATTGCTTTGGATTTGTTCAATATTATTTCTGTTGGCTGAAATAGGTATCAGTCATTTAATGAAATTCTTGGTTTAAAAAATAGTTTGAAAGTAAAATGGAAAGACATTTTCTGAGAGTTGATAATTCTCAAGGGATGTTAAGCCTATTGATATTCTCAAGGAAGAGGAATCAGAGATAAACTTAGCTGCACATCAAAACATTTAAGTAGCAAAGGGCAGTAGCAAGGCAAACTGGGGTAAGAAGACATTGACAACTGTTCCTTGCTATTGACAGGTCACTCCTTCTTGGCCCTGGAGTTCTCTGCAACCGCCCCCATTGAAGGGAGGATTAAGCCTATTCCAACAGACAATCCCAGGCGACTATTGGAACCAGTAGGGATTCAGAGGGAACTTGGAATTATTCCTGAGGCTCTGGTGCATGATTTTTCTAAGGCCTTAGTTGTAACCTGGAATGATTCATGGTTCACCTGAATAACACCATTGTTGTGTGAGCTGTACTTGCTTCCAGTTGCTTTCCAGATACAACTCAAGGTTCTTTAAATAATCTTTAAAGCTGACAAAACTTGGGGACAGAGTGAAAAGAGGGATCAGCCTAGAATCCCTACACAGCCACAAGTGAACTAAGATCACCACCACCACCCCTTGTGTGCCATTGGCTCTTATTTAACTCTAATCAGGTGCTGGCCATTTGTTGGAAAAATTACTGTAGGTAATTTTATTTTAGCAATAAATCAACTTAATTGAACCTTCACATCTGGATCTGGGGTTTTACACCTAACATGGAGACAACTATGGAACTCCTAGATAAAAAAGATCATATATTCTAGACCTATATCAATTAAGGGTTTACAAAACAGATACAACATTAGTCACTCTATTTGATGACCAATGCTGAAATTTGGATGTCAGTGCAGGTAATCCTCCACTTACAACTGGGCTCAGAATCTTAGCCATTGAATGAAGTAGTCATTAAATGAAACACCATGTGACCACTTCACTCAACAACCCTAATCCCAGATCCCTCCATTGCAATTGTTAAGTGACCACATGTGTTGTTAAGCAAAACATTGAGGAGAGGGCATAGGCCTCCTGATCATAATGGGATGAGTACACCTGGGAGATTGATGGCTTTTGCTAGAGGTTTTTTTTCCAGGTTTAAGGTCCGTTCCTCAGTCCTAGTATCCCTCTGGATGGGCTCCAGGGTTTGGTAGGGGGCACTGTTCTTCAGTGGTTTTATTCCTTCCCCAGCAGTTGTTCCAGTCATGTTTGCTTCTTGCAGGATACCTAGGAATCAGTGTCTTTCTGCTTGCTATTCAATATTTGTATGAACTCACTGGGAGTCAGCCTTTCAAGGAAAACCAGATTAAAAACCATTGCTATATAGATGAGTAGTGCTTTATTATACAGAATCTTGCAAGTCTGAATGTATTTCTTCCCTTTATTTTCATATGAACTGTCTGAGACATTTACTCTTGTCATATTTCGGCTCCTGCTGAGGCCTCTTTTGTTTCCTTTGGAAAGACTTTTTGCTCCTGCCCCTTTCAGAGGCCATTCATCTACCTTCTATACTGGGGGATGTTTCGGACCCGGTATTATCAATACATTGATGATTACCCAGTTGCATACTACAACCCTAGGCTGGGCCAGAAATGCTGCATTGTCTTCCTATTAATTTCAGGCGCTGCATTGTCTTCCTATTAATTTCTGGATGCAATTAAAAATGCCATTAAAATAATTAAATGCCTATAAAGTCCTTAGTAGTTTGGCACCTGGCTATCTGCAGGACCACATCGCCACACTAATGTCAGCCCAACAACTATACTCAAGCTAGGAGAAGCACTGATTCCCACCATTTTCAAGAAAAGGGTGAATCCTGGAAATCCCGCTGTTTGCTAATAGGACTGGCCTTCTGGAATTTTGGTAGCTAATAAATGTGATAATAATAAAAACAAAGTGGTGTTCTTTCAAATGCTTTTTCTCTGGTCTGACCATTTACCTTCTTGAAATAGTACATGGTTGCTTAACAGTAGGACTGCTATCTTAGACATGCCAACCTCCTTTACTTTGAATCATTGCTTTCAGCTGTGATAGATGATGGAGTTGAGGACAAACATGATTCAGAATTTTCTGCCAAAGGTTATTGGTTTTAACTGAGGAAACTGTTCTGTCCATTTCCCCCCACTAAGGAGCAGGGAGACTATAAAGCCCCAAACGTGATCCCAAAACCTGCAGGTGCCAGTAATACAAATAAACATAGAGCAATTAGCAAAATTAACACAGTTTTAAATAGCTTGGTTCACCAGATGCAGAGACGTAGCAGGGTTCCATAAAATGTAAAGTTATTAGAAATTAAACCATTAATCATCTGTTCAAAGGGCTGAATGCAAAAACCGTTCTGTCTGAAATGGATGATTTTTAAAAATGGCATGGATTTAAAAGGGACAATTCAGTTGTTCCAAGTCTGATGTTGAACTATGTTCTATAGCTTTGATTCAATTGAGAAAGGAGGATTATGGCCAGAATTCTTCCCTGCTCCCAGCATGTGCAACTACTGAATCCCAGCAACTCTGGAGGCCTGTTTCAGATATTCATCCCCCCCCCCCCCCCCGATTGTTTGAATGTTCTAATGCTATAAAGAGAAATAGAAATCCAGATGCACATGAAGTTAGTGGTGGCCGCAAAAGCATCCAGATTATTGAAGATGTTAGTGGTGGTTATAGTACTACTTATTACAGAAAGGGAATAAAGGGGAATAACAGCATTATTCCAATGATCAGGTATACACGCAATCTTTACATAGATGTTAAACAAGTTGTGCATCACTCCAAAAGTGTATTAGATTCATATTTTAACATTTTCCCATCTATCCCTGCATCATTATCCTTTTAATATTTTCACATAATTGATTACTTCCTTTTCACCTTATTTTTTGAAACTTATATTCATTTCAGTTTTACTCTTTGATGGATCGCTATCACACATGTATAAATATCTAAATGCTTCTTCCAGCATTTTTTCTTTTAGTTTCAAGTATCATTTGCAGGTTTTGTTTTGTTTTCATTCCACTTAACCTGGCAGAGGCTCCTTGTTTAGCCTTTTTCACACAATACTATTTTTTTAAAAAAAAATCTATAAAAATTGTTGTGCTCTTTTCATCTTGTTCTCTTTTACTACATTATTTGCAACTTTTGGGGATTTCCCCCCCTCTAAATCCTATCCCCTGTGTTCTCCCATATTTCAGTGATTCATTTTAAAAAAAAACCATTTTCATCACTTTCTAAGCCATATTCTATCATAAACAACCAACTCTTTCCTTCTCCACCTCAATTAAATTTTATCCCAATAGCCCTGTTAAATTCTTCTTCCCCATCACTCTTGCTCATTTGACTGCTGTTACTGAAACTTCAAATTTTCTGTGAAGCAGGTTTCACTAAGGAACCCACTTTATTTAGTACATTATTCATCTAATGTCATTTACAGAGAACTCAGCCAGCCCAATGAGTCCCTTAATAGGATATCCCATTCCATTTCCGCTAATTTTCAGAAGTCAACATTTCCTGGTCAAAGAGAAATTTCTGTCTTTTTGGATTGCTTTAATGTATTTCTCTTCAATATTATTATATTTCTGCAAACTTTAAGGTTTCTCAAAGATTGTCAGTATGCTTTACCTTTTACATGTGGATGATTCTTTCAGTTTTATGGTCTCTACAGCAGACAAAGAAGTTATTTAACAAAGAATACAAAGCAAGATAATACTGTTGATTTGAAACATTTACCTCCTTCAGACAACCCATGAAGTTATTGCTGATAGGAGATCCAGGTAAATCAGCCGTACTGGGACTTCCACCAACATAGAAGAAGTCATCTGAGCCAAGCATAGTATAATCCTCTTGTGTGTAGCCAGTAGTGGTAAGGATTCCATCCACTGAGATTGTCACCTGTTTGAAGGATGCAATGGACAAAAAAAAGAAAAAAAGAAAAACAAAATTCCCAGCAATGACCTTACGGTTCTTAAAAGAGCAAGTCCTCTCCCTATTTTTATAAAACTTTTAGGATAGGTTTTGCTGAACTTTGTTGATTCATTGCAGCTCAGTTCCATTTTCTGGTCTGCTTTTTGTCCCTCCACTCCAAGTCCTTAATCACCTGCATTGCTAGTTCAACTTTGCTACTGCCAAAAAGAGAGCTATTCTACCTGCCATTGATGGCTTCCATTTAATAAGGCCAGAAAATGGAGCAGTTGGTGGACAGGAGCACTTATCTGAGCTGATAGTATGATTGATTAGCCATTATTGGTAGTGATTATTGTTAGTTATGACTGTTAGCAAAGACACTAATGATGAAGTTGATATATTTGATTTTGCTTCTTTGTATTTATTTGGCTCACAGCACACAAATGAACATGCATTCAGGGAAGGGAGGAAGGAAAAGGATCTCACTTTCAATACATTATGAAATGAACATGCTATGTGCCTACAAAGACACCCACCACCACCCAGTACTGCAACTTAAAAAGAAAAAGAAGTACAAAAATTAAAAAAAATCAGGATTTACAAAAAATGAAAGAAAGAAGTCGACCATACATCAGCAAAAATGAAACATATAAAGTGAATTTGAAAACAAGAGGGAAAAAAATTGCCCAAAGTGCTCACACTCTCTACTTTAGCACACCCATGCCACTGTTTTTCAAAATCCAGAAGGACAAAGTATCCTGAGAGATTTTTTTTTTTTCACACTTGCATGCATTCCTTAAAAAAGCAAAAATGAAATCATAAACTATAAAAGGAGAAAAAGAACGCTTCAAAGAAAGGGAAATTAAATTTTAAAAAATCTAAAAATAGTCCAAACCCCGTAATTCATGGAGGACAATGGAAAACAGAAGGAGGGAAGGAAAGGAAGGTTGTGAAAATGATATATGTATGTGATTTAAAAGTTAGATTAGTGGTTTGGTGAACAGATGGGAAGAGATAGCTGCAGTATGGTGTTTGGGAAAGGAGGTGGGAATTAACCAGACATAGACATGCCATGCAGCGTATATATTGCCCTGAACCAAACAACTGGCTGAGCTTCTGTTGGTTATGGCTGGTGGAATTTCAAAAAGACAGAGAAAAAATATGTGTAGAGGCTAAGAGGCTAGAGGCTAGAGGTTAAGATGGAGTGAGAAAAAAAGGGGGAAGGTTGGTCCAGTTTTCCTTCAACAGCTATTATTAGAACCAAAAAAAAAAAAAAAATGAAGAGGGAAAGACTGGGCTCACAACAACAAACTGCAGGCCCTGACATGGTAGTTGAGTTAAAAACCTTCAGAAAAACATAAAAAGTAAGAAAGTCTCACTTCTCCAAACTAAAAAAAGGAAGAAAAACTAAAGGAAAGAAAGAAAAGGGATTAGCAAAATATTGACAAAAATAGAATTAAAAAAAACCTTTTAAAATAGATGAAGTGAAGAAGCCAGCGAAAGAGATAATTAAATCCCATTTCCAGAACTATTGTATTTATTTTCCTTTGTTTTTGTATTACAGAAAATATATATAAATACAAATAGGAAGAAAAGGTAGCTATAGCAAAATCAAAAGAAGAAGAAGGGGAAGGTAAGTTTAAAGCGGAAGAAAAATAGGGGATGGGAGATGGAGAGGGAAAGGAAGATAACACACGGCAAACCCAAAAAAAGAGACAATAAGAATGATATCTACCAGACAATGTAGTTTGTTTACCATAGCGTGTCCAATGCCTGAGTGCTTTGCGGAAAAGGGGGAAGAAAGGAAATTAAAAAATTGTGAACAGAACGATTGTTAATTAAAATAACCAAAAGCAAAGATGAGTCGTTAGGGTGTTAGTACATTAGTCGGTTAGTAAAAATGACACATTGCATGAATGGTCTAGTGTTAGTTTTTCAAAAAAAGGCATGGGGTGCCCGACACACACAGAGTGAAAAAGAGGACAGCATGAGCAGGACTGTCTGGGAACCATGCCATAGAGATTGTTAGAAGGAAGGGAACTGCCTGCCCTTCTCATTTTTATGCTATTAGTTACCCATCCCACTCTCAGAAGGAAGGGATATTTCCTCTAAAAGCAAGTAGAATTTGAAGGATATAAACAATACTTACTTTTCAAGTGAAAATCAAATATTCACCTTCTGTACCTCTCCACCCACATAAATAATGACAAACCATCATGATCATCATTTTAACCATTCTGTCCCATTTCCTGATCCATTTCAACCTTCTTTCAGAGTTCTATTCAATACTACCTTCCAGTATAGTTCAGATACTCTAATCAACTCAACATATCTCTTGGGTATAATAGACAGTTGCTTGACAATTCCTATGCACTCACCAATACCCAGGGTTATTTTTTTCCTTTACAGTAGTTGAACTTTCAGGAAAGACATACAGAATATAAAAGTCCAGATGAACAGAGACAACATATAGCTCACCTGCAATATTCAGGAAAGTGGGGAGAAGTTTCCCTAATTGAAGGAGGCGTGAAGATTGCTTGCATCACGTATTTTTGTTTGAATGGAAAAAGGTTGTCAGAATTTAACATGTCATTTGAGGAAAGGTAAGACTTGTATTTCTTACCCATGGATAGTTTTATAACTGACTTCCAAACCGCCAAACTATAGATGCTAATAATCATGGTGATACTTATTCATTTGAGAGGCTTAAAAGAAAGGTTTAATTAGTAGGGTTTAGACATGTTACCAACATGGGAAAACATATGTTGATAACTGAGTTTTTAGTTCTTCTAGTATCAAATGGGTGCTGGAATCCTTTGATTATGCAAACCTGAGAGACAAGTATTTTTTTTATGAAACACCAAAACTAAGGGTAATTCCCTGTAATGTGTACATTCACCTCATCAAATAGATTTTACAGTTTTCATTATGTTTTATCATTTTCATAGTCTTTTAATGGCCTGTTAAACATATTTGAGTAGAGATGCACAAGGACACCCCACCCCACCCCGAAAAAAGGTAAGATCTGCAGCCAGTCTAAAATTTATTGGGGAAAAATGCTGCAGTCCTTTAATTGCAAAGGTAAGTTCCACATTGTTCAAGCGATTGTGGGTTGGGTGAGATTGGACCAATAAGATTGTTCTGTTCAATCTCCTGCTCAGATACATTTAGATTTTATAATTTCAAGGAAATTTGTCTTTGTTTCATGTTTATTTATACTATTTTAATATATTTTATTATTTGAAGTTAATAATATATAGCATTCTTAAATACCATTTTGATGAAAAGGCAAAAGCAGGACAATAACAGTTATTGGTAGACTGTGTTCTCTTTTGATGTATATGTTGGTTTTTTAAATTGTCACTGCATAGTTTGGTAGCTTCAAAATCAAATCAAATCAATAAAATATTTAGTCGAAAGATATTGCAGCAGCAATGTAAGTACTATCTTCATATTCTTTTATTTTTAATCATAAAATTATTATTTTAAGAAGTCTTTCATCACATGCTGGAAAGCATGACTGAGAAGCATGGCAGATAGAATTTGTACCATTTCCTTTGTTTTATATATTATTTGGGCCTGCATTTTTAAGTGTATTTACAAGAAAAACAAATAATATTACCAACCTTTTTCTGAAAGTGCTGGGGAAAAATATTGACACTTTCCCAATTCTATCATTAAAAGTGTTTACATCCAATAAAACAAATGTTTTTCTTAATATAATCATATGGGAAATTTACTGGTGCACAAACTACTTTGAATTAAGTATAGTGATTTATGTATGCAACAAAATGTTTTTATGTACAGCACATCGCATTTTTAAAAAAACTACACATTTTTTAAAATGAATGTATACTGTTCTTTTATAAGTTTATAGTTTTCAGGATATAGGTACAAAAATAGCAAATTTGAATGATAAAAGACACAAATATTTATGTCTGCTCATAGAAAACCTGCATTAGTTTTTTAACTGGACAGTATTCTGTAATATGATAATTTTAATGTGCTCCATGAAGCATTTCTTGATAGAAAAAATAGAATGTTATTGTCCAACAAAAAATGTTATTTCATTCTGTTTTATTTTTATTTTTAAAAAACTGCTGTAAATTCTATATTGCCACATCCTCTGTCCATATTTGGAACAGGCAGGTGGGTTATAGCTAGAAATATTAGTTTTACTTTGGATTTTGCCTATTATTAAATGAAATGCTCTCCTATTTACAGAAAAATAATACACCACTAACTAAAATGGTTATTAAATTGAAAGAGAATTTCAAAGAACAACCATTATAAGCATGTAAATTAGTGGTGGGTGAAAATATATGTGCATGAAACATGAATAAAATGAATTAAAAGTTATAGTTTAAAATTACATTTTGAGGATGACCATTTCCAGACAATGAGAAAGTTTAAATGAAATAAGATAATTAGTCCAAGGTAAATAATTTCCGTCTTCAGATGTAGCGGTGCAATCTGATGCTCTTTTAACCAGAATTTGGCCTGATACCATATTATTGTTATGGTTATGTAAATATGGAGAAGATCGTGATGATTGGAAGAAAAAAATTAAATAATAATAATAAAGGAGGGCAAAAGCAAGGTTGCTAGATACTATTTCTGTTATTATAAATGTGAGCTTGCAAGAATTCATAGAAGCAGTTACTGACAGAAATCCTAGTTAAATGTTGAATAATTTAAGATTGGAAGTCACTCAAGGACTGAACAGCAATGCATTAGACTTAAAATGCTAGCATATTCAAATATATGCAACATTTAGGGTTTTGCTTGCTGTCACCAATGCCTTGGTCAGCTCTTCTTTGGACTTGTTTGGACCCATAAAGTTCAGCTAGTCCAAAATGCAATAGCTCAAGCAGTGAGTTTGCCCACATGCTTTGCTTACCACTATGCTTCTGAGTGCAATTTAAGATGCTGGTTGTCACCTTTAAGGCTCAGGATCTGAGCATTTGTAGAACTGCTAGTTTAAGGGCTTTTGCTTAATAATTAAGAGAAGCCCCCTTCCAGATTCTGTTCCTAAGAAGTGCCATCTGCTGTAAGTATGTCATTGGTCCATCTTTGTTACTGCTCTCCTTAAACTGAATAGAATTCCCGTGGAAGTCAGAGCGGCTCCAAATCTTATTACCTTTGAAAAAATCTCTAAAAGAACTACTGATATGAGAAGGCTCTAGAAATTCAGCTATTGGGGGGGAGGGATGTCCAAGTTGGAGGGGGAGGAAGAGAAAGATTTTCCTGTAGCCTGACAGTGGTTGTTAATGTCCTTAGATATACATGGATTACTATTTTTATTGTTATAGAAATTCCTTTCACTCCATAAAAGCATAAAATGATTGGTTTTAATATGCATATGTGCAAGTATAATAAATATGCAGTGTTTTGTTTAAATTAACAAGTGTTTGAATGTAAAAAGTTAAAATATCTATTTGAAAAATTCATGGACGACAAACTACATAACATTTACCAATCAATAAGAACTAAAAGGACTATATGTACAATAGAAAATATAGTAAGAACGATATGTACAATAGAAAATTTGTCATGCTGTAAGTGGTCCCAAGTGACTTAATATATTTCACCAGCTTTCAGAAGGAAGGTTATTTATATTCATCTGTACCTATTAAAAGCTTAAGTGTATGTTTTAGGAGAGAGGGAAGAGTTTTGATACTTTAAATCTGGCTAGCTATATAAAAATATTATTAGATACATCTGTGTGTTTAGAGAAGTAATAAATGGAGTTATAAAAGGGCAAAATATTAATAATAATAAGGGTATGGGGAAGGGGATCTTCAAAGTAACATTCCTCGTCTATGTAGTCATCACAGGATAGAGACAAAAAGCAGTAGTAGCATAGCTTCATAATGAAAATCAAAGCAAAGAAATAAGGTCTGGAAAAAGTACGGCCAGTATTAGGAGCATAAGGTTAAAATAAACACCTCACATACAAAAGAAAAATAGAGAGAAACAGAAGAAACAAAGACTATTATCAGCCCAATCCACTAAAAAATCCACCCGCACAAACTCTCTTGAAATGATCTTGCTCAGATATCATTCTTGGGTGTGTGTAGCAATGCAGTTTGTCATTCATCGCAAAAGGTTTGTGCAAAACAAAGTCCAAGTGAATCAGGCCCATTACAGAGTTAAAGTAATGATATTGTGGAAATGGTTAAATCAATTACCATGACATAAAGGAAAAAAAGGAAGTGGATAAAACTGCTGCAGAAAATACTTTCTATTCCTACTGTAATTAAATGCAACAAGAATTATTGCTGATAAGATTGAAATGTAATTAACGAAATAAGAAAAAAGAAAGCAAAGAAAAGAAGGGGGAAGTGCAAAGGAAAAGTGAGATAAAAGTGAAGTTAAGTCACAAAATAGTGTTAAAACAAATTGGAGATGGGAGAAAGGTAGAAAATTATCAAGTGGAAATGAAGTTATTGCAATGAGGCCAAGTTATAGTAAATGAATCAGCACTTGTTTCCCCTCAAGTTACTAGAGGTTAGATGCTCCTCCCACACCAAATAGATATACATCTTTCAGCTTCCTTCTAGCTACCAATTTACTATTATGTTTATTCACAGAACTTTACCACAGTTCTCTTCCTTTCCTCATTACCTGCCGCAAGTTGCGAGTCACTTTTACGTTGTGCCATTGGTTGTCATTAAATTTGCCACTGACTGGCTCCACAATGGCTTCAAAGGCTCCAGATCCTAAGTTAATGATCAGTGAGACGGCGCCATCTTTCAGAGCCAGGTTGACATAATCAGCCGACTTGCCCGTGTGCAGGATAAGGCCGTTGCGTTGCCAAGTCTTGAAGGACAGTGTGATTTCGTCACTGCTGCTTTGAATCGGGTTCTGGGAGAGGTCATAGCACAGGTATTCGGAGCCACGGAAAGTGGCTACATTCTCATCTCTTGCTGCAGAAAGACAAAAGGAGAAATGCAGAAGACTGATCAGCTTTGTTTCATGAAGAAATAACATTCAATTTGTTCCACTGAAATAGATATTCATGAATCATGGTTATTTTTGTTCTTGCTTTGCATCTGTTTACATTGCTTATATATTCAAAGCATGGAGAAGGCAGTTAGTGCAACCATCAGCTTATACCGCCTCTGGACAAAGATTACTTCTTAGAGCACAGGAATGTAACCTCTGATATAGTCATCAACATTTATATCAAACCTTCCAAGCAGGTAATCTTTTTAATCTCAGAGCACAATTTAAAGCTTTATTTTCCTGTCTTATTCAAAAGAGTAGTATAATTTTGGAAGAGAGATTACATTTAGGAATGAAACTGTATGGGAAACACCAGACCCAAAAGAATAGAACATCTTTTTACTTGATTTAGGGAGATAAATGAATATAGTACATAAAATTGAGCAGATAGAAGTATGAGCAATTATCTGAATTAATCAAACCAAACTTTCAAAGAATTAAAATCAGGGGTGGGATTCTACAGGTTTGCACCTATTCTCTAGAACTGGTTGTTAACATTCTAAGCAGTGTGGAGAACCGGTTGTTAGAAGAAATTACTGGCCTAATCCTGTAAGGAAGGCAGGAAGGAAACATTCTGGTGTTGCTTATAGAAACTGCCTTTCCGTTGATCCTTATTATGTTCTTGGCAGGACTAGATTTCCTGTCTCAGGAACTTCTCTGGAGTTTTTTCCCCCTCCTTTGCTGGTACTTTGCTTGTGTGGAGTGACCATTTAAAGTTACAATGGCACTGAAAAAAGTGACTTATGACCATTTTTCACACTTATGACTATTTCAGCATCCCCACAGTCATGAGAGGCCAGGCGAGGAGATGCGTGCCTCGATGTGAGTGATGTTGAGTTGGCCACACCCATCCAATAACATGACCACCAAGCCACGCCCACCAACCAAGCCACACCCACAGAACCAGTTGTTAAAAAATTTGAATCCCAGCCCTGATTAAAATGCAATGAACTCAGACCATCAGAGGCAAATATACGGGTCTATTTTAGCAGCTTATTTAAAATTCTTCTAATGTAGTTTCTTTCATGAATGCTCTTTATTTCATCATATGTAACATATCGCATAAAGGTGCAGTATTTTCAATATTGTTGTAAAGTTGCCATCATTTATAATATCCAATAAATATTTTACTGATTTTGGCAAATTGCTCATTTAAATTTACTGATAACTAAAGATCAATTATCTTGACGGATTTGTTTCTGGTTTTCATTCATTGACAAAACAGCATAAAGAAGCCCATACTACATACAATAAATATAAGCTATCATCCGGAGTTATATCAGTCCTTTGAAAAAGGTACCTCAGGAGAGGGAAAGCATATTCTGTATAACTGTATACGTTGCTAAAGCAATGGCTTTTCCAGATGCTCAAAAATGTGTTTGCTTATTTATTCAATTTCTATAGCCACCCAATTGATTATGGGAGGCTTACAATTCTAAAATTATAAAACAATTTTTAAAATATTAAAACATTAAAACATCCACAAAATAAACACACTGAGCCCAGGGGTGAGGAGTCAAACGTGTCACAAGTCTCGAGTCCCTTCACATCCACAAGAGAACTGATTCCAGCCCACCTTGAATTCCACTGACTCTTACCAACTGCCAATTTGCTTTGATGATTAGTAGCTCAGATTCTTGTACAGAGTTTAAGCTTGCAATAAACTTTTCTATTCATTGCACTGCCTAGATTTCTTGTTTCTCAGGCTTGACATGCAAACAGCATTTGTGATGATTAATCGACTAATAGTAAAGCCAGCTAATGGGGCACTTAACTCGTTCAGAGCCCCAGGTACATAGCCATGTTTTTAAAGCATTGTAAAAAGCCAATAGGATTAAGCTATGGGTGATGGTGGGCCTCCCAGTTCAGAAATAGGAGTAATTGGAGCTCTGAGTAGAGTTGTGCCAGTAGGTGCCATTTTTCTCTTCAAGAGCGAGCTTAAATGTGAACTGGATCTGTTTGTGTTAGTGCCATCCCATCCAGAACTAGAGATGGAAGGACTTTATCTTCGGAAGGTCCCAATACTTACAGCCAGTCCATATTGCGAATATTGAGCAGAGCCCATTTTGCTCCAAACAGCCCAAACAACCTCCAGACACTGGAATAAGAAAACCATAGCATCACTCAAGGGGCCTGGAGTATAGAAATAAAGCTGGATGTCATCTGTATATTGATGATATCTCACCCAATGGCCTCACATAAATGTTAAATTGAAGGGGAGAAAGAATAGAGCCCTAAGGCACCTTACAAAGTAAGGGTCACAGCTTGGATCTCTTCCCAGCTATCAGCATTGTCTGAAACTGACCTTGGGAGAAAGAGAAGAACCAGTGCTACACAAGAGCACTCATCCACAACCCCTGCAGCAAGCCCCGAAAGATTCCATGGTCAATGGTATCAAAAACTGATTCTAGATTTCTCTGCATGTGTATACATGCATGGCCACATTGCTTTCCAGGTAAGGGGGGGAGCCCAAGTGGTAACGGGAGAGTCATCAACAGAATTAACATTTGACTGAGAAAGGGCTGTCAAATGACAACATAGGGGGAGCTGTAAAGGAATAGGACATTTCTAATTCTAATTCTAATTGGTTGTGCTCAGAAGGAGGCCACTCATATTCTGTCAACAATGTTGGATCCAAAATAGGTTAATTGCAATCAGGCTATTTTCAGCTGAAAGGTATATGAGATTTAAATAACTGAAGCTATGACAACTCTATATCCCAACTCTATGGGATAGATAATAGAAAGGGTGTTAAAATGGTTGTGAATCATTAGATAAAACAGATTCCCTAGGCACATTTTATAAATTGTGACATCTAAACTGTTTTTTTGGTATAATGGTCAGAAAACTTCATTTAGATAGGAAACAATTATCATCAGTTTTTAAAATAATCAGCTGTGATTTTTTTTTAAAAAAAAACTCTGCCTCTGTGAGTTGGGTTTGAGGATAGTTATTATGGTTTTGATTCTACTCTGAAAATTAATTTGAAAAGCGTGGAGAACTTCCACTTGATTCAAAGCATTTCAACAGTGATGTTTCACATACATCTTCTGTGTGTGTGTGTGTGTGCATGCATGCACACATGTACATGCATGCACCCACACATTTGAACTATGCAGGAACACTTTAGGCAAAATAATAGTCAAATTAGTCCTGGGAAAGGAGATGGTATGAACAAAAATCAAAATAATCAAGCCTTTAATTTGCTTGGAATGTGTTGGGGCAGAAAGCGAATCTGGAGAGTTTTTGAAATTGTGTTATCATATCCTACAACAAGTAAGGTATGACAATAATAGCAATCTCTGCTATTAGTGTCTCTAGTGTCTCTGAATCTGTCCTATCCTGAAGGGATTGCAGGTATACCAGTGTGCTGGTACCCAGGTCTATTTCTCAGTATATTCTGAACCAGTTGAGAATATTAAGGTGCTAAATACATGGAGCAAATTGTGGCATTTCTATTGTTGAACTACACTTCTGTATTGTTGGTATAATTCCCAACATCTCTCACTATTGGCCATGCTTCTTAGACATGATGAGAATTGTATTACAGCAACATCTGATGTATGCAAGACTTGTCTAGTTTTGTGTTAAAATCAACTGCAGATTTGGTAGCAAAAGGATGCAGACCAATGAGCTAAAGCCAAATTCTACAAAAAGTCAACATTCTTAAGAGATGTTTTCCCAAAGCTGGTATTTAGCCTCTTCATGGATATGTGAATAAAAAATTTCTGTTGTCTAATACTGCATAACCACTGAAATCTTTAGTTATTGATAGATCACTTTTGGAAGAAATGCTCTATATACTGTTGGGAACTTTTTTTTAAAATAGTTTTATTTGGCTTTTCACACATACAAAATACAAGTAAAACATCTTTTTTGAAAATAGCATGGTCCCGGGTTAAACTTCTTTATACAGACACAAAACTCAATGTCACGCTCCTTTCTGTATTCTATTCCATATCTTATACTATTTTACATTTTCTATATAGTTTTTCCCCTCTTTTGATTTTCTTGATTTTAATTTGATTATCTCATCTCAATTCAAATCATTATATTTATACTTTTGTCTGTTCTGTTTCAATTTCATATTATCTTTTCTCATTAAACAAGTTTTCTCCTGTAGTTACTAATTGGAGTATAACACCTTTATATCTTTTAATTACATCCATTCAACTCTTATTTAAACTTCAGTATAAACCTTAAGGTTATGACCTTCAATATAATACATAATACATAACTTCCAATCGAATTCTGCTTGGCACATTCTTATAATACACAGTATATTCTTTAAAAAAAAAAGAATTGTAAATATATGTAATTATAAACCCTCATTCCGTTCCAGTTCAGTTCTATCATTAATAATCATTAAAATCTTAACATCTTTAACACTTCTTTTCAATTAAATATCATACTTCCTTAAAAACACATATAATCTCCATAACTAATTTTTCCCTTATTTCTCTTCACATATGTTTTATAAATCATTAAATATACGTTTTATTACATTTATTTATTGACAAGCATTCTACTGAATTACAATAGCTATTTTATCAGATATTTTAATCATACATTGTTTCATATTTTCTAAAATTATTTCTGTTTCTAATATAACCATACTATCTTATGTACCTTTGCAGAATCCCTTTTTCCATTAAATTTTTACCCATTATCTCTAAATAGGCCCTTTTTCTCTTTATTTTGTTTCTGTCCTTTATGACTTCTTTTCCTTTTTTTCTTCCCTCTCATCTTCTCCCTCCCCTTTTTACCCCCTTGTCTATTTCTAATTCTCTCTTCTGCATTTCCCTCTTCTGTTGCTTTCTGATTTTATACTAATTTTTCACTCTATTTTTTTTTTTTTTTTGGAGTTGTTTTTCCCAATCTTAAACTTTCCATTCTCTTTCTCCCCTTTCCTTTTTT